CTGGCTAGGAAAGGGGCTTTCCAAGGCAGTCGCAGACTGACTCTCGAACCTATTCAATTGTCTGTTAACACAATGCAGGCAGCGAGGGCTGAAATGCCTAAGTGCCACCATCTAACCATGGTGAGAGATTGATGACATCCCAAGTAAGGAAGTACACATAGATCCCTAGGACCTTGAGGTTTTCTTCCTCACCGTTTGCATATATATACGCTTAATTAGAAGCCATCCATATGATCAGTGACACCTGGTTTACCTGAGAAACTGGTAAAGACCCAGAAAACCATTATGGACAGTTAAAATAGAAAGGATACTTAGTAATGTAAGGGGAAGCTTGTCTCTTTATAGGACCATTAAGTGAATATTCTGGAAACGAAAGTTCAGAGATGAGTCGAAGTAACAGTCAATTAGAAATAGAAAATTATAACCATAGAATACTCAAGTGTTCAAGCTTTTAGAGTAAGATGAGCAATAACGCTATGATATATTGAGAGATGTGTACTGGGTTCGAACCCAGGTGACAGCACCCCGCATCACCTGCTAAGACCCAAATTCATCCAGCCAGCTAGTCCCAATAGGATGAAACGCATGTCCTAGCCTCCACCACGAGCTATCAGCAAGCAAATGACATCAAATCGAAACTTGAGGCATCAGTTCAGGGTCTCCAAATGGCAATTGTGGAAAATGAACGCCAGTCATGTTGATTAAGTTTTAATTTACCTGGTGGTAGTTAGCAGTGGGATCCAGGATGAGCGTTTCCTTGTATTCGTGACTGGTCAACTTGATTTACGTGCACCCCAGTGAGGAGTGATGCTGTTCCCGTTGGGACTCGAACCCAGAAGCCGGAATGTCTGCATAGATTTGGCCTAAGCCTCTTGATGTGACCGACATGGCTCATTCCGCCCTTTGTCCACTTTGAATGATTTCAAACTGTCCACGCTGTGCGCTATTGCACTGTTCGACGCTTGCGGATTCTTTAACCGTAGAATCTTGGAGAGGTGCTCGTAGTATCCCGCTACACTTATTCTTCTTATCGATTTCTTCTCCTTTCTGGTTCCTTTTTCTACCGTTTTATCTGGCATTTATCAATATGAAGTATTTGTAGGCTGAAACCAAAGTTGCTACTACCTGGTTAACAAAGCTATGTCTTTCCGTTATATGTTCAGAAGAGGAGCTGGTTATATAGATATATGACTACTGCCACAGTTTTGTTGTCCTCGAGCGCCTATCAGATGACCTCGAAAGCAGCAGTGAGAGGACAGTTATGTTTTTTCTTCAGACTGTGATGCAGAACTGAGATGAAATCAGGGTGCACATCGTTTCTTAATGATGTTTAAGAACTTATCTAATTACGCCAGAGGTATATCATCCTTGTGACCACAAAACATTAGGCTCCCTCAACTTCAGCGTCGGCCCTGGTAATGCAACATACACCTTGGTTGCTCTCAGTTTTATTACCCAACGGGTACTGCGAACATACTTAGAATTAAGTAGTATGTTGAAATAAAAGTTTTAAGTAGGTTTCTAGGGTGTGAAACTCAGTTTTAGTGCATACTGCTGACCATGTATAGTCACTCTCTTGGTGATTGGTTACTTTCAGGTCATCTATGAGTCATTCAAAGACGGCAAAATTCCATTGCCCCACTCACCGATGTACTCAGTCACTTAACTTTATGGTGGTGACGAATCCCTCGGCTTACAGAACGTGGAAGATCATGGCGATAATATGTTTGGGATTGATCGCTTCCCTGTTTTTTGTTTTACTTTAGTAGATTTACAATAAAACGTAAACACCCTAAGATAATTTTTTAAACTTTTGACGTGAGACAGGGGAGTAATCAAGGGTGAAAGTGGCTCCGTGAATCTTGATGGAATCTCAAACTGATGCAGGTAAGAACATCCGGACGGTTGGATTCCTACCCAAAAGCTGATGGTCCTGGATTCGACCCCGTCGAGGTACTACGCGTGCACAGCTGAAGATTCGGTCGCATACTAGAAGGACGAAACAGTTGTCCAGTGATTTCAGGCTACCCTCCAATGGTTCTCCAACTGATTCTGTTGGACGGTTTGATTTTCATAGTTTCCCTGTAAATCTATACACCTCAACAAGTTTTGATCAGATCGCCTCTTCTATTTCATTACTCACTACCGTATATTTTCTCCTTCTCTAACCTTCAGATAGAAATAAATCTCTTCTAGAAAGTGCTGCAAGGCAGACTGGATTGATTGTCCCCTTGACAACTGCTCTAAAAAATCCTTCTATATGGTCAAGATGTAGGTGGATTTTGCAGTGATGATGGTGTTGACAGGGAGAGGGGGTAGTGAGAATAAATTTTACGCTTTATATTACGTAGTTTTTGTAAACCGAATGCATAATATGGCGTAATATGTTTGTATCTCCATACACAATGTGTTTTCGTACTTGTGTGTGGTTGTCGACTTTAACTCTCTCCTGGTGACTATCGGTGAAGTGAATTGTTCTTATGTCTTGTTTTCAATGAATAATCCTTCACCGTTTTAATTTTTTTTACATTGGGTGATGATTGGAGGTGAAGTGAGAATCTTAACTACGGTGGGTTTTGACCAGTGGTCTACAGATTGTCGGCGCAGTGTCTAAGCGTGAGATTTTCCAGTAAATGCTTCTTCCTTGGTTTGTATTACGTAGACCAACTTCGGTTTGATGTATCCAGTAAGTTAGATAGGGTAGACGGTGAAGCCCTTAGTTCAGTAGGTAAAGCAATAATAGGTCACTTCCGACTTTAGGCAGATAGACAGACCAACGCAAATCGACGAAGAATCTTGGAAAGAAGCACGTATGATAACGTTACCATAGTGCACTGCAGCATGGAAAGAACAACTGCGCAGAGAAGGACTGATGTAGGTAGAGGTGCATAAGAATGAGAGGGGATTCAAGAACTGGAGGTCAGTAACAATGTTCAATCTTTAGAAAGCGTTAAAGAATGAATACATCCGCACCTTTTTGACCGTTTTTCAGATATGTCACCAAGGGTCACCAACCATTGGCTTATGTCACCACGAAGACCCCAACCTGACAGTCTATACATCTATCTGCCCCTCGACACGATTAAAAACAACAATCAGATACTAAGTTGATTGGTGCCATGTCTTGGTCTAGTCACACTTAGCCTTCTTTGTTCCGAAACCTGTCGAAGCGTGAAAATCGACTCCAGATCTGGCATCTAACTGGTTCACCTGAGTTGACTATTCTCCAATGCCAGGTAGGCATCGGATAGCTATGATCTTCAGGACCTCAGACACAACGTTAGTTAAACGATCATACCACTTTGAGAAATCCGTTTCTCTCTTGATTTTTCATTGCCTATTCCATAACAGAGTTGTGTCGTTAACAAGTGTAGGTACTGAAAGACTAATTATTTCATTTATTTAATCATCCTCTCTTGTTAGCAGGCTTCATAAACTGACATACCTGTCCACATCCCTGGGTAGTCGCTTGTTTCATAGATACAGAAAGTTCAGAATTCCAGACAATAATTCTACTTTCTTCTTATTTATCTTAGAGGGGGTGTAGAGTTGCTTCCTCTTAAATTGTAATTTACTTGGTGGTGGGTAGCAGTGGAATCCAGGACACGCATTTCGTCCTATTTCGGTCTTAGCTAGATGGCACATCGTTTAGTCAGATGAATATCTCCCAGCCTTGGGACTATATATGTTTATTTTCCAACCACCAGTGAATCACATTTAGCCCAATCTCATCACAAATATTTCCTCCCGAATAATAGGTTGATATTAGATAACGGTTAGGTTATTTATCTCAGTGTCTTGGGAATAAATCAATGCTTCCATTTTTCCATGTGGAAATCTGGTTCCAGCTTGTTCAGTGAAATTATCAAAAGTAAGCTATCAAAGATGAATATATGTGAATGTGTGAGTGAATTCGAAACAGGTTCAAATATGAACGATAAAAATGTCACAGGGTAGTCACTGAGTAACTTATTTATGTATAATTGCAATGGAAGCATATGGGGTGGATACCTGTGTATGTATCTGTGTGCGTTTGAGTGTGTGTGTGTTTCATTTCTGTTGACACTAGTCCGTGAAGTCTCTGACTGTTGGTTTCAGCTGTGTTGATAGATGTAGACTCCCTGATTGGGTCCCCCAGATGAAAAGAATCAGTGATTAAGGTCTATTGGTGACATGGCTGAAAATCGATCACGATGGTGCAGTTCTACTCACTCCTTCATGTGTTCTAAAGCTTGAATATTCACACTAACCGTGGTCTTAAGACTCTTTATTATCTCACACAACTTTGTTCACTATGATATTAGTCTTGTACCATCAATCTGCTCTTTGTGTACTGCTGTAAAGTGTGATAACTTGAGCCGATGGACTTCTGTGCCAGGTTCTACATTGATTTTTTCAGTCAGTCAGTTGGCCTGTGGTTTTTTTATAAAGATGCCTGAATATCGCCTCAAGATCCATTGTGGCTAGCGGTAGAAACTAGGAGGCATGTTTCATTCTGTTTGCTACTCGTCAGCTGGATGAACCTGCTTCCCACAGAGATTCGACTGTAGAACCCATTGCTTTAAACGCCACAGTGTATCAACCTCGCTTCTGAGAGTAGTAGTTTCGATAACAAACGCATCGTCTACCTATCTCACCTTAAATTTGTAGCATAAGAGTAAAAAGATCCTTTTTATTTATTTAATGATATTCTTTGCAGTGGCATTAGTCTTCAATGAATTCATGAGAAGATTGGTTACAATTTGAGATACTTGATATCCCGTTGCCATACATACTACACTATCTTTCTGCCTACCTGTCTATCTGTCCGATTGCCTGACTGTATGTCTCTCTGAATGTCTATCTATCTATCTATCCCGAGGCTTTCACCTTTCTAACCCTAACAAGTGTGGTGCTGTAGGTTTTTCAGTGTAGTGAAAACAAAACCTGTTCATTAGTAAGCAATCTATGATAAAACATCTCTTTTCTTATCTATTTTTTTTCTGCAAAACACTAAAAAGCTACTGAAAATGTGAGTGATTCAAGTAGTAATGGGAATGAAAAGCGGAAGAAATCCAGTGCGTCAACAACAGATGGAAGACCGAAACTTTTATCCGTAGAAGAGTATGCAGCTGAGTTGAATCGATTGACTAGCGAGCCATTGTCATCAGATGATGCAACAGAAGTTGACGAATACTCCTCTGATGATGAAGAAGAAGATGATGATGATGATGTGCATTCATTCAGCTTACCGGTAAATTTATCTTTCATTTTGCATATATATATATATATATATATATATATATATATATATATATATATATATATATATATATATACTAGAACTTTCAGAGGGAAAGAATAGAGTACGATATGTGATGGGGGGCGGAGAAAAAAAATTTAGAGAGTAAAATACTCTCAAAAGTCATGACGACTGCAGGTAAAGTAACTGGACAAGCTTCTTTCGAAGACAGAGTTCAGTGAAGCTTCAATATGTGAGTTGACATGGCTTCCATAGTTTCAAGAAGAAGAAGATGTACACCTTTGATGAGGTTTATATGCATTCTATAAATGACACTGAAGTTACGTTTAGGATTTTTAAATGGTCAGAATAGATTCAGTGTTCTTAGTTACAGGCAGCTGTGAGAGGCTCCCCTCTGTCCTTTGTGCAACTAGGATAGTCGGTATATGTTCAAAGAAACATCTTGAAAGTGAACCCTGACTACTACCAACATAACTTACTCTGCTTGAGCAGATAAACAGGTAAGCACACATAGATAGGTAGCTAAGGGTTATGCTAACTTTTCTGCCCTTGACATATAATGAAAGAAACTGGCTAGAGTTTATCAAGAAAGAATGTTTTTCTCGGTAAGCTTGCCGGACGACTTCAAAGTATTTCTCTTCATGAGTTTCCACTGAATTATTAATTCACGAGGAGATATCTAGGAAGCGTAGGAGTTGAAGGATCAGATGATTTTGTTGCCTGAACCACCCATTCAAAAGAAATTTGTCCAATTTACGTGACCTTCATGAGTGTTTTTCTTACACTCTGTTACAAACCCATTTCTTACAAAAACTGGTAAACAACAATTACTATTTGTTGATATAATTGTCATTCTGTGCTGTCATACTGGATCAAATTGTTTGACCTGTGTTGACATGTTGGCTCGAATGCGGATAGCTCGATATTGCCTGAATATTTTTTATGGTGATTTACTTAGTTGTGGATAGGAGAGGAATACAGGTTGCACGTTTCGTCCTATTTGGGACTGTTCAGCTGGATATTTCTGGACCCCTTCAACAATAGACATTCATCGTGGCTCACTGGCCTAGTGAATACTCTGTTGGCTTTTAGATCGATAGGTACGAGGTTCGTATCTCGATGGGAATAAACATCCAGCTGAGGAGTTCCAAGTAGGAGAGAAACGGCGTCTTCGATTCCTCCGCTATACACAGCCTAATAAATTAGTATTATAATAAGTATCATACTGGATAAGAACTTCTACCTTGGAATCATAGTAGTGGTAGGCAATAGAAACCAAGGCTTAAAACAGGAAGTTATATATTCTACGTGTTAGTCATAGTACTAATGATGATATGGATTTCTCTCCAAAAAATTCGGATCCAGAACGTTTCTTCAACAATAAACCAAACAAACTTCTGTACTGATAAACAGTGCCAACTAGAAATTTAAAAACCTTGTCTATTTATGACTCTCAAAGTTCTTTACAGAGAGGACGTCAATTGTACAGCAGCCAGCATGTGTGCAAGACAGACCAGAAGAGAATATAAAAGACGCAGGTATATTCCCATGATGAGGTAGAGAGATGAGCTAAACAAATACTCAACTTAACATAGAACATTGGGGAAGAACCAAGGAGATCCGAACACTAGCATGAACTGGGAACACTACTAATAATATGTAGATGGGATTGAAGAGGATGAACAGTCAAGTTGTGGATTAAGTGGCATTATAGCGGGATATGATCAAGCTACTCAATAATAGTAAGTAGTATAAAACTTAATGCGTAAAAAGGGATACAAAAGTAACATCACGTAGGGGGTAAACGAGTTAACAATTTGAAACAATTAGTCCCTCTTATGAATTTGGATAATGTAATTAGAAGACGTAGATTATCCGAAAAATGTGTTGTATTAGCGCTATACATTTCGAACAATCTGATCACACATTTACTTGTTAAGGCATTATATTTGAAAACTGGAAGTGGGGGAAGGATACATATAACATAAAGGAATTCAATAATAAGAAAGATAATGACAGGAATAAAAGATAAGACTTGAAGACAATCTTGGTAATACGATAAAATAAGCATTACCAAGGTAGGCTTAATGTAAGGACAAACCCCATTGTGTGTGCAAAAACAGTTTGTCCTTACATTAAGCCTACCTTGGTAATGCTTATTTTATCGTATTACCAAGATTGTCTTCAAGTCTTATCTTTTATTCCTGTCATTATCTTTCTTATTATTGAATTCCTTTATGTTATATGTATCCTTCCCCACTTCCAGTTTTCAAATATAATGCCTTAACAAGTAAATGTGTGATCAGATTGTTCGAAATGTATAGCGCTAATACAACACATTTTTCGGATAATCTACGTCTTCTAATTACATTATCCAGAGTTAACAATTAACAAATAATAATCACTCTATTCTGAAACATATTTTAGGAATACTTGCGAGAATTTTCAGTGTGTCACTTAGCATCGGTGAGACAGAAACAGAAATGAAACAAACGACGCAACAGTTTACTGTAGGTACAAGTTTTTATAAAGACGGACGTTGCTATGGCTTCTCAGTCATAATAATAAACTAAATTCCCTGGATATAAGTAAAAGCATGCTGTAAAAGTAGTTGATTAGTTAGTTCACTGCTAACACTTACTTCTATACGCAGATTACGAGAGACGAAATCAACGGGGAGTTTCGCAAATAGATACATCGGTTCAAACCGCCACACTTTACAGTAGTCTACAAGGAACATGTGGATAGAAAAAACACAATAATTCAACCAAACGCAAGCAATGCGGTAAAGATATCTGTAATCAAAACCTTTTAATCGCCTCGTGTCGTCTACTTATAACTACCTCATTACCGTGTAACAGGACGTAACGGACCCCAGCATATTGTGCTGTGATGGACGGTCGGATATCTCATCGGTTCGCTCCAGAGATGACGCAGATTACGAGATGCTAATCGGGCCTTCTGTCATCCGAGTTGAGGTTTCTTCAGCAACCAGCATATTCTGGTTGATGCAACTCCCCAACTAGGTGAAGTAGCAGATGAAGAAAGTCTTGCATACTTGCTCATGATCTGACGACGATTTGAAAGCTGAATGAGTAGGGAGGATGCTGGTCGCCAGATAGAATAACCTCTTCCAGATGTTCACATGAGTTACGATGTCTATTTACAAAAGTATCGAAAATGGATAGTTTAGAAGTACAGCACTAGTTCTGGTGACGGTCTTCGAAATTCCGCGCAGCACAACATGGTACTTTTTCAGCAACCAAAGAAAGAATAAAGAGGAACAATAAGGTGGAACAGGCAAGTTGCGGAAGTCTATAGAACAGAAAAGAAAAGGATGAAACCCTTATCTTCCTATTGTAACAAGCTAGGCGCATGATTCGTTTGGAATTTAGTAAGATATGGGAGGACCAAGAAAGGTCAGGTGAAAATCATACACCAAGACAGATCACAATTGTTACATTCTCCAATACACAACCATCAATGTATCAGGAGTCATGAGAGTGAAGCAGCTCTCCCAGGTCATATTCACGTCTGAAACTAAAGTTGATAGTCTACATTTTGAAGAGTTAAGCGCGAGACCATTCATGGGGGACTATCGTTCAACTGTTCAACTGTTCAACCAAGGACAGTCTGATGAAGAGGTGGCAGGTATGAAAACTTTCAGGTCATGAACACACGTAACAAATCGATACTGATGGAAGATAATCGGTTACATCGAAAAGAAAAGAAAAGAAAAGAGGATGTAGGCAGATAAACAGCTGCGTATTCCTCGTTTGCAAGATATTGGGTGCGCACCTCTGAGGAGTCTCATTTGGAGATGAAATGACTGTCCTGCGCACCCAGGTTTTCAGTGGTCCTCTAAATGATGTGAGTTCGTGATGGAGTTAAACTTGGAATCAGGCAGTTAACTATAACCCTGACAACTCCAGTGGTCGTTGATGATATGCTTCGAGATGAGATAACTCAAATTATTATGAGGAGTCATACATAACCTGTGGGGTGAAGGAGTTCGCATGTGAGGATATATATCTCCTAATCGCAGAGGATAGCTGTAGCACGCACTATATCGCGAACTGACAGAAGCAATAAAAGTTGAACCATTGGAACGCGACCCAGTTGGTGCGTGGTAAAGTAGATGTCTTGCTTGTTGGCACTGCAGCGTAGACAGACCTGATGTCCCGCCTGAGATCCTAACATCTCTACCACTGGTACAGTCACAAATGCTACCACTGAGATATCTTAGTAAGGAGTGACATCCTATAGCACTGTATCAGGTATATAGTTTGGTCTTTGGAGATTAACCAAGTTCAGGTTACCTAGTCCTCAGTGCTGACCGACCTCGGTAATGCGGTCACGAGGCTAGGAGTTTCATTATCCTGGTGGACTTCATTGATGCTAGATGATCGGAGGCAGTCACTCCACCCCGATTTCACGCTTCTAGGCATCCATCAGTAACTATCTCTCGCATATATTTAGATCATTGATTGCAGTTGTTTGAACTCAAATTATCGGAAGTTACCTGTATATTACTTTAACGATACTACCGTATTAACGGCGGATGGTGGATAGGGATGGGAACTAGGACATGAGATTTTTGCCCTATTTGGGACTTGCTTGTCAGCTGGATATACGTGCACTTCCTAGTGAGGTGACGTTGCTAATTGAGACTTGAGCCCAGGACGAAACACTTAAATTTATAATTTAATAATTCCCATTGTAACATTAAGAACAAGATATTCAGCGAAGAGACTCTTTTCAACGAATTTATTTTCAAGCTGTACAATCGTATATATATGGTATTTGGAAAAAATTATATCCTGTGAGGAAAACTAAACACTATATGGTGATGACAGTAATAATAGAGCGGGTGATGACATAGGCATTTATGATTATAATAACAATTGAAGTGCGAATGATAACAAATAGATTATGTAATATATGGAATGGTACATAGAGAGTATATAACTCAGAAGGGGGTGAAAAAATTA